TGAACAATAAAAACAAATATTGCACATTGAGATAAACATCCTGAAATCCTTGTCTACTATTTACAAGTCCCCACAACCCACTATTCACCATGGTTTGGAGTGATTATGGGGTTCATGGCAGGAGGTTATCCCTCCTTTAGATGGTGAGGACTGGGAGGATATATGGGAAGGCCCACTTCAACAATTAGTTTCTACCAGAGATAAGTTTATACAATGTAAACTACTTTATCATATTTATCTAACTCCAGGAAATCTTCATGCAATTTATCCTAGTTGTCCACCAACCTGCTGGAGAAGTGGGGCAGATGCTGCCAATGCTCCCTACAGTATTTTTGGGAACAAGTGCTTGAGTGTGTATTCAAGGTGACTACCATACAGATGTATCCTAGGGTTGGTGCACGCTCTGGCACACAACAGAGCACTCAGAACTTTATTAGGCTTGCTGTTATTCTATTCCAGGAAGGCAATTGTCCTTCACTGGAAGTCAGCTATAGTCCCTACCCTTACAATCTGGAAAACACTGGTTAATTCTGTAATTCCTCTGTACAAGGCAACCTACCATGCAAGGGGGTGCCCTCAGAAATTTCAAAAGGTATGGAACATCTGGGTTGAATCCCACATGACAGCGTTGTAGCAGATGCTTTAAGTTCAGTCTATCTTCTTAGATGTCCACGTGTATTAGGCTGCCGGTATTCTTGTACTGCTCTTTCTCTTGGCTATTTTCTTTTCCCTTCCTCCCTTCCTTCTCCTCATTGCTTTACCATCTCCCTTCACCCCCCCCCCCCTTTCCCTCTTTTCCTGCAAACCTTAGTATCTTGGGTACAGTTTATAACACCAAGTGGTTTTGGACATGATAGGGACATGAATGGGGGCATGCATGTACTCCTACTCTGTTATCCTTAAGTATGTACTGGTACTCTGAGCGCGGTTACTCCTAGGCGTAGTTTATTACCTCTGTTGTTTTGCACTATGTGGTAATTGTTTATTGTGCATTATGTGAGCTGGGGAATGCACAGGAGGCTCTGTTTTGTATTTATATCCTCTAATACAACCTATAAACAGAAGTGTAAAATAAATAAATAAATCCTGCACTGATTAGTTAAAAGCTGGATCACATTATCCTAAACAGTGCAAATGGTAGACAGTACAACCAACAGCAAACAAAGCGAAAGGGAGCCCCCCAACCCCCCCCCCCCCCCAGACAGTCTGGCACCTCCAATGCTGAATACACAAAGTCCATTACACATGCTGTATTTCAGGTGTTTGCGTTCACTTGTATAATCTGTCCTTCATAAGACAAAATTCACACAATATTCCAACAGTCTGAAAAAGTGGAATTCATCTATCTTCATAGATTTCTTGAGGGAGATTGTTGATAAATATAGCTGTCCCTAGTAGAGGAGCTTCTCCAACCCCGTATACAGAAGGGCCCCAATATTTCCTCTGACCATTAACCTGTATAAGATTAATATTACATCTTTCCATTCACTCCAGAAGAGAAGCTGTAATGTCTTTACTCAAGCCTCACTCTCAGAGTTCATCACGTTATTATCCATCATCACAGACTGATCCACTCTCCCCATGTGATCAGAGGGTGAACTGAGCGCTGGCGCCAGGGAGACAGCAAGCCAGTTGGTTGAGGTGATCCTGCCGACAAATTATTCTATCAGTCCTTCTGATTATAGAATCCCCCTACTACCACCAACTGTCTAGGCCTTCCTGCACTACCCTTACCACCTGTCAGGAATGGACTGGCCAGCAATGGTGGGACTCAGCTGCCTTATGGGCTGCAGTACCAGGGCTGGCCAGCGGGTGCTCCCAGCAATCAGAGACTCAACCCTGCAGCCAGCCAAACACCTGAAACTGCTTATGCAGGTGTATTTAAGGGATGGCCAGACCTGCAGACTCTGCCTTGGTGTGTGTTTTTCCTGGGCCCTGTATCTTGTTCCTGCATCCTGTTCCTGTCTTGTTGCTGACCCTGCTTGATCTGGACCTCTGCTGACTTCTCCTGTTCTGATCCCTGGCTTGTGACCCCGACCATTCTCTGCCTGACCCCCCTGTACCTACCTGCCTGTTAGTTGCTGTACCCAGCTCGTGACCTGACTACTCTCTGCCTGCTCCTCCTGCTCCTACCTGCCCATTTGTTATTGACCCGGCCTGCCTGACGACGCTTGCATTGTATGTATTGTTATCTGTGGGTGGTTTGGTTCATTTGTACTGTGTTATGTTTTAGTATTGCACTGCGTTTATGTTTGTATTGTTAGTCTTGAATAAATTATATTGTTTATAACTTATCTGAAGCCTGCGTTTCCCTGCGTCAGTCACATACCTCTGGTCACACCCCGGAGCCCTGACATTACACCAAGGCCAATCCTGACCAGAAGTGGCTGCACAGGGAAGCCATCTTGGCTTGTTGCTGGGAAGGATGGATCTTGATGAGGTTGTGTATTTGTCTCTGCTAGTGTTTGATGACAGAGAGTATGCTTATCAAACTCTGAAGGAGTATCCCCGGGATGAACTGCTAGAATGTATACGGATCGCTCATGTTCTAGTAGATCAGGGCACAGAATTCTCTGAGGTGCAGCCATTGATTCAGGTTTGTGCTGAGTTGGTTTCATCTGGTACCCCCCGAATGCAGGGATGAATTTTTGCCACCATTTAGTGCAGACCAGGTAGAGTCCCTGGTATGGTTATTAGAGGATGATGTGGATTACTTTCTGGAGCGTTATTCTGCATGTTCACCACAGGTATTAAGGGATTGTATAAACGCAGTGCAGTCTTTGGTCAGACAGGCTTTGTGTAAGCTCAGCTTTGTTCAACCCATACTGCAGACATGGACAGATTTGTTACACCCAGCCTCAGTCAGCTTACAAAAACCCAGTCCTGCTTCTAATCTATTTCCTCAAAGCTCTACTCCTGCATTTCCAACAGCACCTCCAGTTACAGCCCAGTATACTTGGCTATCTACCGCATGTCAGTACCTTGTTCCCACTCGCTGCACCTATCCTGCCTTTAACCCTGTAAAGAAGCCCTCTGTAGCAACTGTTCCCTCCTCTGTTCCATCCTCCAGCTCTTCTCTGTCTCCAGCTGCTCCATTTGTTTGCAGACCTGCGTTTACTTGCAGTGCTCCAGTAGTTAAAACCAGAAAAAAGCGAAAATTCTTTCCAACCAGTACCATCCTGCCAGTATCCAAACCGGTGAGCCTGCCGTCTGAGAACCTGCCTTCCGTGGTTCAGCCTGGTGCCTCGGCGCCCGCACTTCAGCCTGATGTCTGTACCCAGCCTGATGTCTGTACCCAGCCTGATGTCTGTACCCAGCCTGATGAACTGATCCAGCCTGATGTCTGTACCCAGCCTGATGTCTGTACCCAGCCTGATGAACTGATCCAGCCTGATGTCTGTACCCAGCCTGATGAACTGATCCGGCCTGATGAACTGATCCACCCTGATGTCTGTACCCAGCCTGATGAACTGATCCGGCCTGATGAACTGATGCAGCCTGATGATCCTATCATGCCAGGTGACTCGATGCCCGCTGTTCCGCCAGTTGACTCGGAGCCCGCAGTCTTGCCAGACGACTCGGAGCCCGCAGTCTTGCCAGACGACTCGGTGCCCGCAGTCTTGCCAGACGACTCGGTGCCTGCTGTTCCGCCAGTTGACTCGATGCCCGCTGTTCAGGCAGACGACTCGGTGCCCGCGGTCTTACCAGGTGACTCGATGCCCGCTGTTCCGCCAGTTGACTCAGTGCCCGCAGTCTTGCCAGACGACTTGGTGCCCGCAGTCTTGCCAGACGACTCAGTGCCCGCAGTCTTGCCAGACGACTCGGAGCCCGCAGTCTTGCCAGACGACTCGGAGCCTGCGATCTTGCCAGACGACTCGGTGCCCGCAGTCTTACCAGGTGACTCGATGCCCGCTGTTCTGCCAGTTGACTCGGTGCCCGCAGTCTTGCCAGACGACTCGGTGCCCGCAGTCTTGCCAGACGACTCGAAGCCCGCTGTTCCACCAGTTGACTCGGTGCCCGCAGTCTTGCCAGACGACTCGGAGCCCGCAGTCTTGCCAGACGACTCGGAGCCCGCGATCTTGCCAGACGACTCGGTGCCCGCAGTCTTGCCAGACGACTCGGTGCCCGCTGTTCCGCCAGTTGACTCGATGCCCGCTGTTCCGCCAGACGACTCGGTGCCCGCAGTCTTGCCAGACGACTCGGTGCCCGTAGTCTTACCAGGTGACTCGATGCCTGCTGTTCCGCCAGTTGACTCAGTGCCCGCAGTCTTGCCAGACGACTCGGTGCCCGCAGTCTTGCCAGACGACTCGGAGCCCGCAGTCTTGCCAGACGACTCGGAGCCCGCGATCTTGCCAGACAACTCGGTGCCTGCAGTCTTACCAGGTGACTCTATGCCCGCTGTTCCGCCAGTTGACTCGGTGCCCGCAGTCTTGCCAGACGACTCGGTGCCCGCAGTCTTGCCAGACGACTCGATGCCTGCTGTTCCACCAGTTGACTCGGTGCCCGCAGTCTTGCCAGACGACTCGATGCCTGCTGTTCCGCCAGTTGACTCGGTGCCCGCAGTCTTGCCAGTTGACTCGGAGCCCACTGTCGTGCCTGGTGACTCGGTGCCAGATGACGCGGTGCCCGCTGGCGAGCCAAATGACCTGATGCCTGGTGACCCAGTGCCCACTGTCATACCTGGTGACCCGATGCCCGCTGTCGAGCCAGACAACCCCATGCCTGTTGACCCAGTGCCCGCTGTCATGCCTGGTGACCCGATGCCCGCTGTCGGGCCAGACAATCCAATGTCTGACCCAGTTCCCGCGGTCATGCCAATTGACTCAGAGCCCACTGTCGTGCCTGGTGACTCTGTGCCCACTGCCTTGCCAGATGACTCAGTGCCCGCTGTCGAGCCAAATGACCTGATGCCTGGTGACCCGATGCCCGCTGTCCAGCTAGACGATCCAATGTCTGACCCAGTGCCCGCGGTCATGCCAGTTGACTCGAAGCCCACTATCGTGCCTGGTGACTCGGTGCCTGTCGCTCTGCCTGGGGGCCCGAGACCTGTCGCTCCGCCTGGAGGTCCGGCGCCCGCCGCTCCGCCTGGGGGCCCGAGACCTGTCGCTCTGCCTGGGGGTCCGGCGCCCGCCGCTCCGCCTGGGGGCCCGAGACCTGTCACTCCGCCTGGGGGTCCGGTGCCCGCCGCTCCGCCTGGGGGCCCGAGACCTGTCGCTCTGCCTGGGGGCCCGAGACCTGTTGCCCGCCTGGGGGTCCGGCGCCGCGCCGCCCGACTGGGGGGCCCGATGCCTGTCGCCCCGCCTGGGGGTCCGGCGCCCGCCGCTCCGACTGGGGGCCCGATGCCTGTCGCCCCGCCTGGTGATTCGGAGTCCAGCACGATGTGCCTCTGCCCGGAGTCCAGCCCGATGTGCCTCTGCCCGGAGTCCAGCCCGATGTGCCTCTGCCCGGAGTCCAGCCCGATGTGCCTCTGCCCGGAGTCCAGCCCAATGTGCCTCTGACCGGAGTCCAGCCCGATGTGCCTCTGCCCGGAGTCCAGCCCGATGTGCCTCTGCCCGGAGTCCTGCCCGATGTGCCGCTGCCCGGAGTCCTGCCCGATGTGCCGCTGCCCGGAGTCCTGCCCAATGTGCCGCTGCCCGATGTGCCGCTGCCCGATGTGCTGCTGCCCGGAGTCCTGCTGCCCGGAGTCCTGCTGCCCGGAGTCCTGCCCGGTGTGCCAGTCTTTGATATCCCGCCAGTTACCAGACACCGGGCGGTGGAACATTTTGCCCAGCTAGGACTGTTTGGAGCGTCCTGAGGCCGCTCCTTGAGGGGGGGGGTACTGTCAGGAATGGACTGGCCAGCAATGGTGTGACTCACCTGCCTTATGGGCTGCAGTACCAGGGCTGGCCAGCGGGTGCTCCCAGCAATCAGAGACTCAACCCTGCAGCCAGCCAAACACCTGAAACTGCTTATGCAGGTGTATTTAAGGGATGGCCAGACCTGCAGACTCTGCCTTGGTGTGTGTTTTTTCCTGGGCCCTGTATCTTGTTCCTGCATCCTGTTCCTGTTCCTGTCCCTGTCCCTGTCTTGTTGCTGACCCTGCTTGATCTGGACCTCTGCTGACTTCTCCTGTTCTGATCCCTGGCTTGTGACCCCGACCATTCTCTGTCTGACCCCCCTGTACCTGCCTGCCTGTTAGATGCTGTACCCGGCTCGTGACCTGACTACTCTCTGCCTGCTCCTCCTGCTCCTACCTGCCCGTTTGTTATTGACCCGGCCTGCCTGACGACGCTTGCATTGTATGTATTGTTATCTGTGGGTGGTTTGGTTCGTTTGCACTGTGTTATGTTTTAGTATTGCACTGCGTTTATGTTTGTATTGTTAGTCTTGAATAAATTATATTGTTTATAACTTATCTGAAGCCTGCATTTCCCTGCGTTAGTCACATACCTCTGGTCACACCCCGGAGCCCTGACACCACCCCTCCCAGAAGGTCTGCCCTCCCGGCTGTTAAGGATAGCAGTGACATCTAGGGCTGCCCCCCCGGAGCTTGCCACCCCCACATCTTCACCCAACTTGGCAAATCTGTTTGGGTGCACAAACCCAGGGCTGGCCTTCCTTTTCTGTGAGCACCTACCAATCCCTCTCGTTACAGTAACCCATCTTCCTACCTGATAATCCTGATTAGACCCTCCACATCAATCCCATTAGCTACCTGCTCAGAGGGCAGAAGACCCCTTTCAGAGTTGTCGGTTCTGCCCAGTGTTGCAACTTGCTCCTAACGCAAGTTTCCAGAAGGGCAACCCGCTCATATCTGTCACAGCAGTATCCACCCTGGAGCGGTTGCTCCATTGTTGCATACATGCGGCACACTGTGCACTGCACAAAACCTTCAACCCTGCTAGCACTCATATCCCAGTTACAATATTAATATTACTAATAGGAATTATCAGTTGTCACTTACAGGTCAGTAGACTCCTGTTACCACGGAAGGATTCCCGGGGGTGGAGCCTGATCATGGCGGCTCGGGAGAGCGTGGAGTAAGCACTCCTCGCTCCCTTTCCCCGTTCATCTCCCCTGTGAGGTCCCGGTCCCAAACCTAGCTGCACTGGAGCAGTAGTGGAGCATACTGGAGCCTTACCCGGCCGAAGAGGGGGTCCCGGAGACGGCGTGGCGGCGAGCCCAGAAGGGAGACGGCTGAGTCCCTCTCTCACTAGGCGTCTCTCGTGGTAGCTCCGGAGCAGGACTGGGGTTGCCAGGGAGACGAGCATAGCGGCATAGCGGCTCTCACACGTGGGCAGCCGCGGAGGAGCTCTGGGAGCAGAAGAAACAGCCGGCTTTTCGGCGTCCAGCAGTTCAAGGGAGAAGAGCGAGCAATGTAAAGAGGGGTAAGGTGGTACGTTGCCACACACTTCTATACTACTTCTACCCCTCAAACTTCCATACCTCCTCCAACCCAGAAGAATATGGAAAGAAGGATAAAGGCTTAAAGAGACCCAAAGGAATCCCCCAAGGAAAGACAACTATAGCAGAGGACTGCATTCTGAAAGATATTCCAGCGTGGAAGGTGAGTGATAACAACGTGTACACTGCAGGGGATGTCATATACTCCCTATATACTCCCTATATCCTGGACTCATGTACTGGATTTTCCTTTTTTGTATACCAGTTTTTAAGCAAGGCTTTCATTGTGCTTGCACTAGGACATTGTATTCTCTAAATTGAGAGAAGGAATTTGGGGATTCCCCGGGGGGTCTGAAGGTTTGGAGGAGGTGAAGACATGAAAGGTAAAAACACAAAAGGGAGTGGGTCTAAGAACCCTCAAACTGGTTCGATTAAGAAGTATATACCACAAGGAAATTTGACCCCAGAAAGATCTCAAGGAGTGAGTGAAAAAAGTGAACTGGAAATAAGTTTGGATAATAGGCCGAGACTTTCCCTGGGACCGGTATATAGTAGTCAACAACCATCGGAAGGTATAGGGCCGAGAGAATCTGAAAGAGATCTGCAATTACCAAATAAAAAGGAAATGGCTGAGATGTTTAAAAAATTGGAATTATCAATAAAGCAAGAGATGGGGATAATTCGGGAAGAACTGGAACAACTGCTAACTAGGATGGAGGAAACTGAGGAAAAAGTTCAGGGTCATGCTCAAGCTATCCCAAAATTAGAGAGATGGATAATAGACAATAGAAAAGAACAAAAAAGACTTTTTTTTAAGATGGAAGAACAAGAAAATAGAGACAGGAGAAATAACTTAAGAGTCAGAGGAGTCCCAGAGATGACCCAGGGGGAGGATTTAAAAGAGTTAATCGGCAAAATTTTGAACTCCATAGTGGATAAAGCGGAGGTGGTGATGTTTAAACTAGATGGAGTGTATAGGATAGGGAAGTTCCAACAAGAAAAAGATTGGAAAAACCAAGAGATATAATAGTCAAATTCCATAATTATGGAGATAAAGAGGAGATATGGAAAAAGATAAAAGGAAGAACAAGTATTCCATATGGTGAGAAAAATATCCAAATTTTTGCGGATTTAACAGCAGAGACTTTGAGAAGAAAGAAAATATTGAAACCTTTATTAGAAGAGATGAAAAGACATAAAGTGAAATATAGATGGAGACAAGTAGCGAGTTTGGTCGGTTGGAGAGATGGAATTTCGGCAACTTTAAGTTTTCCAGAAGATATGGAAGATTTTTGTAATAAATTCGGACTGCAGAGACTAGAGATACCGGGCTGGGAAGTGGAGGAGGGAGATTTATACACCAGTAGGGAAGGAAAGTGGCAGCTGGTTGGAAGAGTAAATAGAGAGTTATTAGATAAAGGGACCTCGGGGAGGGGGGGGGGGGGGGGGAGGGGTGCGGTCATGAGCGGAGCCGAACCTCCAAGGTAGGGATCAGAGGTGGATTATGATCCAAAGGCAAAGGAGGCCTTGGGGGGGGCGGTCGGGGGGGGAGCTACAGGGGGGGAGATGGGGAGGGCAGAGAGAGAGGGGGAGGGGGGGGGAGGGGGGGGTGTGGGGTTAATGTTCTGCAAGATATCCGGGCCTAATAGAAGGAGATGGACTAGAAGAGAGAAAGATAAAATCAAGAAGGATGGAAGAAATACAGTTTATAACATATAACGTGAATGGGTTGAATTGTCCTGGGAAAAGATTTAAGTTGTTTAAAGAGTTACATCACAGGGCAACGTCAGTGGTATTTTTGCAGGAGACACATTTTGAGATAGAATCAAATGTGAAATTAAAATCTAAATACTATCCAACATGGTTTTACGCTGACTCTCCAATTAAAAGAGCAAAAGGGGTGGCAATCGGATTGGCAAAGAATATGAGATTTGAGTTGGAAGATAGAAAGACAGACCCAGAAGGGAGATTCCTGTTTTTGAAAGGTAAACTACAGGGCAGTGGTCTGCAACCTTTAAGACATAAAGAGCCACTTGGACCCGTTTCCGAGAGGGAAAAAAAGACTGGGCCGCAAAACCATTGCAACATTTAAAACAAATCCGACACTGCATATATTGCGAAAAGCGCTCTGGTCATGAAGGGGGTTTAAGGGCCCAGTAAGCAAAGGGTTAACCAGGGCCACAGTGTATCGTCTAGTAATTCATCCCCCATATAGCAATTCATCATCCCCCTATAGTAATTCATCCCCCATATAGTAATTCATCCCCCATATAGTAATTCATCCCCCCTATAGTAATTCATCCCCCCTATAGTAATTCATCCCCCATAGTAATTCATCCCCCATAGTAATTCATCCCCCATATAGTAATTCATCCCCCATATAGTAATTCATCCCCCATAGTAATTCATCCCCCATATAGTAATTCATCCCCCATATAGTAATTCATCCCCCATAGTAATTCATCCCCCATATAGTAATTAATTCATCCCCCATAGTAATTCATCCCCCATATAGTAATTCATCCCCCATATAGTAATTCATCCCCCATAGTAATTCATCCCCCATATAGTAATTCATCCCCCATATAGTAATTCATCCCCTATAGTATTTCATCCCCCCTATAGTAATTCATCCCCCATATAGTAATTCATCCCCCATTATAGTAATACATCCCCCATATAGTAATTCATCCCCCATATAGTAATTCATCCCCCTAGTAATTCATCCCCCATATAGTAATTAATTCATCCCCCATAGTAAATTCATCCCCCATATAGTAATTCATTCCTCATATAGTAATTCATCCCCCATAGTAATTCATCCCCCATATAGTAATTCATCCCCCATATAGTAATTCATCCCCCCTATAGTATTTCATCCCCCCTATAGTAATTCATCCCCCATATAGTAATTCATCCCCCATATAGTAATACATCCCCCATATAGTAATTCATCCCCCATAGTAATTCATCCCCCATATAGTAATTCATCCCCCATAGTAATTCATCCCCCCTATAGTAATTCATTCCCCCTGTGTCAATTCACTTACCTTTGCTCCGCGCGTTCCTCTAGCTGTGTTCCCGCGGCGTTCTGGTCTTCAGGGCGGACTGTGAGAGGAGAGGAGTTCGTCACGCTGCCCCGCCTACATCCTGACAGCCAATGTTTGGAGGAGGGAGGGG